CTTCTCCACGAAACCCATAGCACAGATATTAGCAACATTCGGATCGGACCATTGAAAATGCGTTTCCTTTACGGCATGGGAGCCCACGTGTGTAACGAATCCACAGGCCAGCGTGGCAGGGCCTTTTCTCTGATCCAGGGCGTATCCGGGTGTCTCGGCCTGGAGCGGTGTGGTGTCGAATACTCTACCGCTCTCTCGCCATAAGTATGAGTCCAATCTACCCTTACATTTATCTATGGCATAGTAAATCGACCATGGAGATTGCGGTGGACTCTGCCGCTAACCTGCGCCGAATACTGCCTCGAGCCGCCCGTGCTCGGATCTATTAGACAAAAGCACATAGCCCTCCCCTTCAGGGCAATTAACAGAATTGACAATACACACAGTTTGGCACGGTACATGTATAGTAAGAATGTGGCGAAATGCTTCTTCATGAACTATCTGCGCGTCGGCTACATTACAAAGCCAGTCGTTTGCAGGAACGACATGACTAGTAGTAGTTTCGCTCCTTTCCATACATAGAAGCTAGCTCACTCCATCATTAGGATCTAGCCAGATCGACGCACCCCAATTGTGAGACGAAGGGCTCAGCTCAGTCGGTGGTAGGTAGTTCATGTTGAGTACCAAGCGGGACATTGTCATTGTTCGATTGGGAGATGCTGGGGAGCATATCGTGGCCAAGCGTAACCGCGCCGCCCTGATCGGGCCATTCCGCCTGGATCATTCCGGAGCCTGGCAAATAGGATGCCAGTCGTCTGTTCTGGAAGGCGTCGATCGTGCTCCAGAATCGAGTGGTCGCGGAAACCAGCTCTGCGTGTGCCTGATCCAACACCAGCTGTATATCATTCCACGGGACCTGATCTTGCAGTGCGGTGTTCGTGGATTCCAGCTGCTGTTGCAATTGGCAATTCTCCCGCTGAAGCTTCTGCTGCTCGGCTAATGCAGCATCCCTTGCCGTAACTGCGATTTGCAATTCCGAACTCTTTTGCGCTTTGTCGGCTTCGAGCTGGTCCAGCAACTGAGAAAGATCGTGGTTCTCTCCATCTCTCTCCTCAAGCACGTCTTGAAACTCCTCCTCAATATTGCTCATCACCCTGAGACACTTTCTATGCGTCGCTTTGTCGTTTTTCCTTTTGGGCTTCTTCGTAATGGAGGATACCTAGCATGGTCAGTAAAGAGTACATTCAAATAAAAGGGGTGACACCGGGGCTGTTCTGGCCAGAGCGAAGTACGAGCAGACAAGTTGAGCAGTGGCATACCGAGGTTCTGTATAATTTCGTCTCTGGTTTGCGTGACTTTCGTCTATCCTTGGTCTCAGAACCAGTAGAACAAACGGAATAGAATGATGGTGCGGCACGCCGCCGTACGCCGTCAGACCTGAGGTCTGCGTCATCCTGAGGAGGCTTGGGATTCTTTGCCATGTTCGAACTTTTATTACCATCAATAAACAGTGAATCAACGAGGCGCAGAAGAGATGAGAAAAGTATCAGCAGTGACCTGCCGAGAATCTGGCATTATATAGGAATAGGGAGAGGCCTAAGCGTAAGATCTGAAACAGAGCAGGGCTCCTACCAAGCAAGTGCGTCGGGACGAGAATTACGAACTCAATAGATTGAGGACTACTCTATATGCCAGACTCCGTGGAGCGTTATCGCGAACACACTAAACATCTGCCCTTCGATTGTACTGTCGGGGATACGATCAATTAGCCCGCACAAAGATGCATGTGGATGCACACTACCTTTTCACAGCATGAACAGGCCAGCCTCATATTATTACCAGTAATATCACACATGAAACGTTGCACTTTACTGAATAAATTCAGTTCAAGCAACAGGCTCAGCAGGAACCAAGAGTACAATGGAGCCCCGACAACGACTAAGCGATGTGTCGTACATGTTTGTGTGATCACTAGACCACTTTCCATGGTGTCATGAGGGATCGTACGTGTGGCTGAAGTCTGTTTGCTAGGCCTGGAGGATTTACTACCATTGATACATCTAAAGTCAGTGAATCTTTGGACGAAATAGAAGTTTTCAACCGGTATAGACCGATTCCTAATACGCTTGCCTATTTTAAATTCTATCATAACCATAATTCCTAGTTTACGTGGCTCGCGACGTCTCTGGACTGTTATGCTTCGCTTGTGGTACGTGTGTCCATGTAGGGGATCCAGCGCATCTAGTGCAGAAGAAAGAGTCACTTTGAAGTTGCAACGCAGTAAATTACCTACTCCTCCCCACAACCCACCAGGAAGATTATTTGCAGGAATTCTTAGTATTATTTTGATACACTATATTTCTCAACCACCCTGCTCAAGCTCTATGTATCCACTTTGCTAGTATCTCTCGCTCAGAATCTTTTCATACATCTGCATTGCTAGAAGTTGTGCGCCAGCTTGAATCTGGAAATCTGGGTATCAACTATTGGCGCTTATCACTGGCCGTATGCACTCTTTGCGATCCGCAAGATGAGGACTGGCATATTCGGTGGGCTCTCAGCGCACTCCAGCTGTGTCAGCCTTGTGCTTTTCTGTCAATTTTAGATCTCGCTTGATGCTGCATGGCTGCCAAAGGCTGATGATTGGCTGTCGTTGTCATCAAGTGCGATGTCCGTTCCCTCTGATTGCAGCGAACCCAGTGTCTGCATTGCTCCAGCGATGCCCCTTCTCGTCTCTACCAGCTTATCACGCAGCATCTCGTTTTCCGACTCAAGAATCTGCCTATCATGGCGGAGGTGGTTGGCTTCAGCTCGGAGCGTATTACTTTCGCGATGACAATCATCTAGCCGAGAACGAGTGCGTTCCAATTCCACTTCGATGCGGCTGTTAGCAGCCTTAAGCTCGCATATCTCTGCTGTGAAAGAACCATCCATTATTCCTTCACGGAAACCCTGTGTCTTTATGCTCCGTCAGAAGGGCTATGCAAGTGGAGACATCTAGCAAGGGGCTCACCTCCTTTGGAAGGCCGCATGTATTGAAATGCGGATTGACAGCTTCGAGTGAGGAACCCAGCTCCTTCAATATTTTCTGGTAAAGGTTTATCGTGGCACTACTTAGGTTTGATTTGAGCAAAGCAGCATTTGTGTTCGTGACAGACCAAGCGTATCCATCTTCGGGCCGCGGTTGAAGACGGACTCGTTCGGGAGGGACGACGAGGTGAAGTCGGTTAACTAGGCATATCAGCTTGTGTGTGGGCAGCAGAAGGGGTCGGTAAATACATATATGAGCCGCTAATGCTTCTCGACATTGCTTTCTCAGTTGGAAGCGCTTTTGGTTGCTGCTTTTAGACATTGTAGTGTACTTTGGTCATTCAAAGGATCAAGGGAAAAATTCCGCGGGATTTTATAAAACAAAAAAAAAAAAAAAAAAGGAAATAACTCTTGCATTAGATATCAAGTTAATGTAGGATTGATAATTCGTTCTTTGCCCAGGTAGAGAGTGGCGCCCATGGGTAGGGGTGGCCCACTTTCGGAGTGTGGATTCATTGGATGAGATACGTCTTGTGATGATTTCAGCGTTGAGAATCAGTTGAAAGTCCCGTAAAACTTTCACTCCCCGAGCCCTCATATATAGTGCTGGTTGCGTGAGTGGCGCACAAATACTGCGACCCTCAATTTATGCGTGAAATACCTTGAATTATAACTTCTTATTGGCAAAACACAGGACTCTGTTTGGTAGGGCTCACGATGCTGCGCATTTCTGCCCTTCGATATGGGCTGTGGAAGCCGGAATGATTTGATAAAGGGCCAAAAAAAATGATGCATTGAGTAGAGAGTCCGGCTCGATCGCATATTCCACGGGGATTTCATTTCGTCTAGAAAACATATAAAAGGGATCAAGTCAAGCCACCTGAATGTCCCGTTCGGCACGCGATCATCCTGATAGAAATGGCCCCAACAACTCGTCGGTCTCTCTGTCCAAGACTAGCGACCTATCGCGACATGGTGCAACTACAGTGTGACTCCAAGCGTCCACTCACAAACAAGACCACTCGCCATGGTGCCTATGCCGGTCGCAACGTTTGCGCGGACTCGCCGAGCTTGACATCTTCGCGAGCAAAGGCAATGCGAACGAGGGTTCATTGTCGATATCATGTTCCACCTGTCTCGCTACTTCCACGGTCGTCTGGCAGGTTCCCAAAAAATGGCAACAACAAGGACACGCGCAAGAAACGAGCGGTCTCTGAGCGAGAGGCAACACGGCTGGATTGGATGCGACGACTTCGCCCTAAGCCCCATAGACGTTACTAGGTCGGACAATTTCAAGTCGACCACGGAGGCTCAGCAGGTGGCATATCGCAATATCTACTCTCTTCCTTGTATCGTTGAATAGATGGGAATCTTTCACAGCCAACTAGGTATGAGAATGCAGATTTCCAAAGTTCGAAAGACACAGCCTAGATATTGAGCCTCTACGTAGAAGATAGGATGTTTTGAGAAGCAATGTAAGGTTCTGATATACGCAAAACGGCCAGTAGGTAACAGGATTGTTGCTTTGCTTTCGTGGTCAATGCTTTATAAAAAAGCACATCTAAGCATCTCTTGTAGGACATGAGAACGGTTGGGGATTGGGAACTGGAAAACCCGGAATCTAGTAACAGAGGTTGATTGCGATTTGATAGCGGCTTGCTTGCAGGATATATGTACTATGTCTAACAACCTTTAAAATATTCGAAGGTGGATTGAAAACGGCCTAAACCAAAACCTTCCCCCAATCCAAGATACTAGAACTGTGCGCATGTATCTCCAACTTGATTAAGAGCATTTTATGCTACATGTAATCAGTAGACTTCGACCAGTTGGCACTCTAGAGTAGCCTCCGAGCTCACGAACAACTAAATTATAATTTTCTCTAACTAATGACCAGAGTGAGCTTTCAGACAATCTGTCGCGTCTCCGTTGTAAACGTTTTCTACTGTTATAGACAGTACAGATTCCAGAGTTCCTTTTCTCATGGCATCCACGTGTTGTAAGGGGTTTGGAGGTACCCAAGGGTACATTTATGCGGCCCACGCGGCTGACTGCAAGGAAGAAGTCGAGATGGCGATGATGAAAAGCTCGATCTCTTGAGTGTCAGTACTGTTGACATAATGTGGGAAATTGTAATTACCTCGAGTGCAATCATCCATGATTTGCCTAGCGTACCTATGATGGCAACCACAAGTAAAAGAAGTGCCATTACAGAGAGATAGCATGAGATGTACTGCAGCTTAGGTCGGGCTAAGGTTGAATGTCGAACCATCAACCAGAACCATGCAGCTACAGCCACATAGTCCACAAAGAGAACAAAGAGGCCACCCGGATGGACGGAGCTCAGGAGGAAGGTTCCAGCGAGTGACAACGCTACCTTAGCTAGCGCGGAAAGCACGGCGAAAGCAGGGTACACGATGCGTAGAAATCGAGGTGTGAATATATTTTCACGCTGTTGAAAAATTACATGAAGGTACTGTGGTACCGTTAGCCGACAGT